CCTCTGAGCCGCGGAGAGGTTCGAACCCTCAGCGTTCAGTGAGCAGCTGAGTGCATAACTACCCTGTGTTTAAAACAAATTCAGATTCCTCACAGACCTAGGACAGGACAGAGTCGAGCTGCTCCGTGGAGTTTCTGAGGCTGCAAGTCTTCTGGGGAGTAGACAGCCCCATCTTGCTTCAGCAGAGTGGCTGGTAGCTTCAAACTGTCCGTGTTTCGGTTAGTAGCTCAGCGCTTACCCTAGTTCATTGCCAGTATACCTTTTATTTTTAAAAAAAATCATAATAACCAACTCTGTAGAGTTTCAGAGGTTGTGCATCTTTAAGGAAGCAGAGAGCCCATCTTTGTTCCACAGAGCGGCTGGTGAGTTTATCTTCTGCCCTGGCTGTTTGCAGTCTAGCACTCACCCTTTATGCCATCTGGGCTCCTTGAGGATTGCTATTTTATTGCCCTCTACATTATGGGATAGGAGCTCTGGTGTTTAGTGGTTATGCACTGGGCTGCAATCTGCAAGGTCAACAGTTCAAAACTATTAGCCACTCCTTGGAAGAAGATGGGGCCTTCCACTCCTATAAACAGTTACAGTCTCTGACATTCACGGGGCAGTTGGATCCACATTATTGGTAGGTTTCCTATTTGCACTATCAAAAGTACAGTGGCATAAATGCATACATGTTCAAGCATGTGTCTGTGTTGTGAAATTCTACAATAGAAAATTACATTTAAATATTATTTGTTATTAGGTTAACTTATACAAAGTTGCTGCTTTTATGGGTGGAAACTTGGCCATTTCTTTTGGTTCAACCTAATATTTTGTTGTACTTAAAGAAAAGCTGAAATCATAGATCTGAATAGAAAATTTTAATTGTTTTCTTTCCTTCTTACCAACAACAGAGAAGATGCCCGTCCTGAAGGCTGAAGCGTCACACTATAACGCCGACTTAAATAACCTGCTCTTCTGCTGCCAGTGCGTCGACGTGGTGTTTTACAGCCCTGACTTGAGGGAAGTCGTGGAGGCCCACAAGATCGTTCTGTGCGCTGTGAGCCACGTGTTCATGCTGCTTTTCAATGTGAAGAGCCCCAGTGACATCCAGGACTCCAGTATTGTCCGGACTGCGCAGGATCTCTTTGCTGTCAACAGAGAGCCTGCATTTCCAGGTGCCAGCCAGGAGTCCTCCGGCAACCCGCCCGTGCGCGTCATTGTGAAGGACGCCCTCTTCTGCTCCTGCTTGTCCGACATCCTGCGCTTCATTTATTCAGGTACTTGCCCAGGGTTCTGGTGACTTCCACTGCCTTCGGCTTTTGAAGGGAAGTAAACCTGTGTGGTCCGCCAGGGGCTTGGCTTGTTTACTCTCTGTCTTCTCCCTGCCTCCAAGGAAGGGCTGCATGGCTACTGATATCAGAAACCCGGCCAGGCTTTCTGCCTTTCTTTCAAGTTGATTTGCCTTATTGCTTAATCTACTTGTAAAAACCATAATCCCTTGTCCTACAGAGTGGGGATGTTAAGAGATTTAGTACCCCAAATAGTAAAACACAAGGATCTACTGTCCAATTTAACTTTCAGGAAATACAAATTTCCCAGTATATACCAGGTTTCTAAAACTGCAGACCTAGCTATGGATTCTTCAGTTTGACTCTCAGATGTTGGAGTGGATCTAGGAGATACATTAGCAGGGTGGTTGCATTCCATTTAAGGACTAAAAACCAGTATCTGAACTTAGTCAAGCTGAAATCTGATTAACTTTGACCATGACATCCCCCACCCCCATTACTGTGTTCTTATCTCTTAAAAGAACCATCTTCTCAATTATTTTAATTTTTGTTCTTTGGAAAACTCAGTAGCAACTCTATCCCAAACAGCATGCATTTAAGTTAGAGTCATTTGGGGAAGTCTTAATTATCTTATAAAGAATGGATGTAAAGCGATTTTTATTTTATTTTTAAATCATTTTATTGGGGGCTTGTTCAGTTCTTACCACAATCCATCCATCCATCCATCCATTGTGTCAAGCACAGTTGTACATTTGATGCCATCAGCTGTTGGTATCAGCTCCTCATTTTCCCCTCCCTCCCTCAACCTTGACAATTTATAAATTATTATTATTTTGTCATGTCTTACACTGTCCGCTATATCCCTTCACCCACTTTTCTATTATCTGTCCTCCAGGGAGAGGGTTATATGTAGATCCTTGTAATCGGTTCCCCCTTTCTACCCCACCTTCCC